GCTTGATTACAGCGATTTTTAAATTACTCGAAAAAGCTTTATGAGACATGAAATTCATATTTATCCCCGGTACAACGAGGGAAAGCAGCACTTTCACTGTTACCAGCTAAGTAAAAGTGATATTTGAACTTGAAGATTTTACTATTATTGAGAGACGAAACGCAGTGTAGGACGACCCCCCGCTAGATGGAGTGACGACCTGAAATGCGTTGTAGGGAGTCAATGGATGCAGGTGGCTGAGGACCGTTCTTTATGGCAGTCTATGGGGGAGGCTTATATCCAGCAGTGGACGAATAATGGCTGAAATGATGTTCAGATCTCATCATCAGATGAGAGACGTTCTTTTTCAGGCAGAAAAACATCTGACACTGTGATCTTTCCATGATCTATCGTGCTCGCCCTTTTTTTTAAAGTTTGCTTCTAATTCCTATCGCTGATAGGAATTTTAAGATGTTCTTTGTAGCGATGTTTTTTATCACCTCAAGGTATAGCGTGTGTTTTCCAAAGGAGATATATCGTTTATGTATGAGAGGGCTACAGCGACGCATTCAGTGCTGCCGCGTTTCTTCCTCACTGTGACAAAATCTGCAAACACTTTTGGCATAATCCTAATCGGGCCCTGTTTTTGTTTACTTTGCAATGATCAATTAGAACCCTTATTAATACACACATATTATTTTTTAATCAAAACCAATAGATTTTTTATAGTATTTTCTGAAAACCCCTTAATCAGGGATTTCTATTGATTTAACCCTGTCAATAGTTAGAGTTGTCTCTAACCTTTTATTAACAAATGGGTGTCTAAATTATTTCTTAAATACTGCGCAAAAAATCCCATTACAGTAATTCTTAAATCGCTCGAAAAGGCTGTATGAGACATGAAATTCATATTTATCCCCGGTACAACGAGGGAAAGCAGCACTTTCACTGTTACCAGCCGAGTAAAAGTGATATTTGAACTTCATGATGATATTACAAGCGATGAAACCAAACGCTCCGTTAGCTTAGCTCAGGTTAGTCAATCAACTTCGCGGTACACTGCGGTTATTGATACTGTACCATTGTTTACGATTAGAGCACTGTTAATAGACAAGCCAATGCCCGTGACTTCTGCTGCGTGTGTTTGAAAAGTATGGTGGTTTCATTGCGCCATTGCAATAATATTTTCTATCGATTTCGAAAACATATAGGTTCTCAATTCGGTTGTGTTTTTTTTTTATTTATGCTTGTTACCTCATAACCCTGACAGTTGTAAATCGATTTGAAAAATTCTTTTTTTTTTTTAATCTAAAAGTATATACTTATACATTAGTCCTATAGTAATTTTATTAAAATCGGTTGAATAGATAGATAGATAGATAGATACTCCTTATTGTTTATTCATTCGGTCATTACCAGTGGGAGACTTTGTACAAAAGTCGTTTGCTTGGGCACCTCTGTCTCATTCCTATTTTGCATGACTATGTTTCGGTTTGAAGTGTGGGATATGGCAGTAAATTTACAGGGTACAAAGGAATAACACCTGAGTCCTGGGGGGAAAGGGATTGTTAGTAATGGAGACTGAGAATCCCATTGCTAGCAATATACCCAACGAGGTCGAATTCCTCGCGGTTCTCCCTGGAAACTATCATGGTTAATTCCTGATGAATTCATCACGATGGGCTAACTGGCCTGTTTTCATTCTCATCTATCACCCTTCACTGGTGCTCCGCCAGCGTATCCCGTTAGCGCAGGCGGGGTTACCATACCATTTTCACCTATCAAAAAAAAACACCTGAGTCCTTAGAAGTAGCAACGCATGGGGGGTATCATGAGCGAAACAGTATACTCCGTTATGTCCATGGTACTCCTCATGTCTATATGCGACTGTTACCACTTGCCATTAGGTGGGCCATCAGCTTGTTTGCCATTAGGTGGGCCATCAGCTTGTTTGCCATTCTAAGTTACATAACAAAAAATGTTGACTGGTAGACAATGCTACTAGCATTAAGTCCACCTTTTTTACCATATATTATTTTGGTCGATAGAGTTGTTTGAATAAAATAAACCCAACTGCAATGTACAGACAGATAGATATTTATGCGTTAATTTCTGCGGTCGGACACTAACAAGGAAAAGTTACTTTCTCATGCTATTGCAATACGTCTTACCCGTTACGTCATATTTCATGCTTTTAGAGAGCAATTGAATCTGTTACTAAGATTGCTGTGAATGCATCAACCTCAAGTAATAAATATAATGGTTCGTTTTGCAAAATCACTTTGCGTGATACAATTCGATTAGTGACTGCTGTATAGCTATCTAATCTATGTGGGCTCCCCCACCTACCCATTACTAACAATTAGTAATGGGGAGGTTAACCCCCATGGCTATCAATGTACGCTATCAAGTCGACCTGAGAGGTTTACCAGAGGGAGACTGTACAAAAGTCGATTGCTTGGGTACTTCTGTTCCATTCGTGTTTCAACCGTGAAGCAGTTGTGTTTGCATGGCCGTGTTTCGGTTTGAAGGGTGGGATATGGCGTGAATTTACTGGGTACAGGGGAATAAGACATAAGTCCTCAGGAATGGCAACGCATGGGGATTATCATGGGCGAAACAGTATACTCTTTTATGTCCGTGGTACTGCTCATGTGTATAGGCGACGGTTACCACTTTCCATCAGGTGGGCCGTCAGCTTGTTTGCCATTCTAAGTTGTAAGTAGCCGTCTATTTCTCGCATTGTACGGACATCCTTTAGTAATCACTACATAGTATAAAACAAAGTCGATGTCGCTGTCTGTTCGTCCCTTAAGTCTTTAAAACTACGCAACGGATTTTGAAGCGGTTTTTTAATAGATAGAGTGATTCAAGAGGAAGAGAGACAATTACATTGTCCACTTAATATAGATCAATTACTCTTTACAGCATGTAATTTATATGATTATTTCCGAAGATATTACAGAATTAAAATGCAGGGACATAGCAGTGCGGCATTGCACACGTGCGAAGCCGGGACAGGTCGCTAGTCACTACATAGTATAAAACAAAGTGGATTCCCGTCTGTCTGTCCCTATGTATTCTTAGATCTTCAAAACTGCGCAACGGATTTTGATGATTTTTTTTTAACTAGATGAAGTGATTCAAGAGGAAGGTTTATATGTATAATACATGCATAATACAGTAGAGAAACACTGATCCTTTTAGAGATTTCTAATGTTTTGTAATAGGAGGTCGGCGACGCTATTTAGTAACAGCATTGCACCCGTGCGAAGCCGGGGCGGGTCGCTAGTTTTATTAAGTTAAGAAAGTAAAAAATTAAGTGAAGTTAAGAAAACCAAAATAGCATTAATCGTGGCTGTAGAAACGTCTAGTCATAAAAGTAGTTCAAAATGCATATTGTCGGTAAACATCAAAAGATCACCTTCAATATTTACCCATTTATTATTTAGAAAGCATGTAGAGTATAACTTTTACTTTACTTATTCCCCGAGAGACTAATGCCACTAAGGCACTTTCATTAGTGAAATCCTGTTAAGTAGAGGTTCGCAGTTGCATAGAATGAAATTGAAATCTTGCACGTCATTAAACGTAAAAAGTAGGGGCGAAAGGGATGGTTAGTAATGCGGACTGCATCCGATTACTAGCAATATACTCTACCAGGTCGACCTCAGGAAACCACCGTGCCGAATTCCAGGAGTAATCATTACGATGGGCCAACTGACCTGTCTTTACATCCTCACCTATCATCCCTACCACCAGAGGGAGACTTTGTACAAAATTCGATTGCTTGGGTACATCTGTCCTATTCGTGTTTCTACCGTGAAGCAGTTGTGTTTGCATGGCTGTGTTTCGGTTTGAAGGGTGGGATATGGCGTGAATTTACTAGGTACAGAGGAATAATACCTGAGTCCTCAGGAATGGCAACACATGAGGGGTATCATGGGCGAAACAGTATACTCTGTTATGTCCATGGCACTGCTCATGTCTATAGGCGACGGTTACCATTTTCCATCAGGCGGGCCGTCAACTTGTTTGCCATTCAAGTTGTATAAAAAAAATCCCTCACTGATGTCCCACCAGTGTATACCGATAACGCAGGCGGGGTTACCATTTCATTATCATCCATTAAAAAAAATAACGATGCGTATGGAATAAAATATTTTGGGGCAAAATTCAAAAACGGCATTTTTGGTGATCGGCCGATACCAACCCCTTACATTTGGGGGGAAGGGATTGTTAGTAATGGAGACTGAGAATCCCATTGCTAGCAATATACCCAACCAGGTGGACCTCCTCGCGGTTCCCCCTGGAAACTATCATGGTTAATTCCTGATGAATTCATCATGATGGGCTCACTGGCCTGTTTTCATTCTCATCGATCACCCTTCACTGGTGCTCCGCCAGCGTATCCCGTTAGCGCAGGCGGGGTTACCATACCATTTTCACCAGTAAAAAAAAAAGGCCCCTTACATTTGATTACATACTTTTTTTTATAGGGATTTACTTTTAGATTGTTTTAAATTGTAATTTCGATTTTGTATTTTTTGACAACGTCTGTTTCTTCCTCGTTTGGTCGCTGTTTTCGCATTTTTGTATTCTCTCTCCTAAAATCTGTGTCTTTACTATTATCAACCCATCACAGTTCACCGCTCTCTAATACAAAAAAATAAGGAGGCCCAGCATCCTCCTTATTATTTTTTTATTTTAGCTGAGATAACAATCATAAAAAATACAATGAAATGGAGAAATTTTTTGAGGTCGGTTGAAAATAAAACTTTGAGGAAGGAAGAGAGGGAAGAGTGAGAGAGAGAGAGAGAGAGAGAGAGAGAGAGAGAGAGAGAGAGAGAGAGAAGAGAGAGAGGGGGAGAGAGAGAGAGAGAGAGAGAAGAGAGAGGGGGAGAGAGAAAGAGAGAGAGGGGGGAGAGAGAGGAAGAAGGAGACTTATACCCAACTGTCGATAATTAGGATGCAGTCTGCTATCATAATAATGAAAAAAAACATATATTAAAAATGTCGTTTAATTATATAGAATTCCATACAATCTTACATTATGTATATCTTATAGATAAATACAATATAATATTATGTATGTTAATTGTATGTTTTTGCTTAATTTGTGGTAACTTTTAACATCACATTTAAGTATTTAATACATGTATGTCGGCGTGTTCAAAGACTTCGAGATTTTTAAACAGTATGATTAAAAAAAACCGCACCGCGGACAAATTAATATATTTTTTTATTTATTTCAAATTTTATTCTTATCTAAATAAATAGCTTAAAAATAATTGTTAACATGTGCCGTTAAATCTAAAAGATAGAATACTGAAATATAACAATATACCAAAATGACACAAAGTAAAAATGTTACAAATAAAACGTACAATACATTAAATAAAAAAAAGACTTTCAATAAATAAAACATTTAAGAAAAAATAAAAAAAAAATACATTTTTCTCTGGAATTTTTTTTAAATTATATCATTTAGATTTATGCCAAATATAACAATTATAATTGTTATAAACATAAAGCAGGGATCGTCATTTCAACCCAAAATGTATGTAATTTTGTGGTCAAACTGACAATACGTAAAATGCACCGAGCCAATTTATATGTAAACTATACTTAATTATTAAATGTGTAATTTATATAATCTATTATTTTTTCTTTTATTAATTTGTATTTACTCATTTTCATATTTAGCAATTTAATATTTCTTTTCGTAAATATAAATTATGATAGAACAATTATATATTGAACGTTTCCATTTAAATTAATAAACTTAGCGCATAATAATATCACCAATTTTGATTTTTATTGCATGAAGCATCTAACCTTATCTACTCTTATATGTGTAAAAGAGACGAAAATAACAATGTTTGTTATTTGTTGAGATTTCATATTTTCCTACCCGTTTCTAAAATGACATCCGCCTTCGTAGTCTTCTCTCTTTCCAACAATCTCCGCCTCACTTCACCTGGATTATATCTCTTTCTGTAAACCCTTCTCACTCTTCTAACAGGATTCACATTTCTAGCCATAATAATCTTCTTTTTACCAAAACTGGTGTTATTAAGGATCGATGGAGCTCTCGAATCTTCTAAAAATTTAAAAGATTTCGCTTTTCGTGTATTATTTGCAAATATATCTCTTTGTTCTCTTATAGTTGCGTCGTAAAATACTTTTCCGTTTACAATAGCTTTACGTATGTTTTCGGTTGTGCTTAATATCCGCGGAGGTCTGACGAACGTTGTCTCGCTCACTTCTAAACTTTTATCGTTATATTTTTCTCTTTCTATTTCATCTTTTGTTACCCTTTGAATGACACCTCTCCTTTCCGGAGTGGGGAATTTATTTCCAAAGTTGAAATCCACTAAGTCTTTATCAATAGCAATATTCTTAGCTTCCAAGTCTTTCTGTGAACGTTTCTCTAAAACTAGTTTCGAGCCACGTCTTGAAGCCAACAATCTTCCTATAGCCTCTATTTGTCTTTCTTCTGCCTCTAAAGTTTTCAAGTCAGATAGCTTATCTCCCTTTTTAGCATCCTCAATATCGAATACTTCTATTGATGAGAAGTCATTTAATTTGTCGTCAATTCCTTTTATATTATCATTTACTTTATCTTCTTTTACATTTTCAGGCGTAATCATTTCTACAATAGAATTGTTGGTTTTGATTACATCTTCTTCTTTATTTTCAGGAATGATTGGATCTTTTAATATTATATTAGGTTTAACAGTAGTTGTAGTAGTAGTGGTTGTAGTTGTCAATTTATCAATATCTATACGAAATATATCGTCGTTTGTATCATTTTGCAAGTTTCTAGTTTTTTCATCTCTATGACTTCTACCCTCTACTCCAATATTGGGATTCTCTGTAGCTTTATTTGTAACTGAAGATGGGGGAGGTTCTTTAGAGGGTACGCTAGCTGGTGGAGGTTCTTTAACGGGATCTCTTGAAGGCGGGTTGTCTCTAGGAGGGTTTCGAGGCGGTAACGGTTCATACCGTTCAGTTGTAGTTGTTTCGTTGTACCTGAAGTATGTAATGTTTGGCGGGGGACCTTTATGAAGGTATGCTACGGGCCAGTATCTGAAATTGATGTTACATGTTACTTATGTGGAAATTGCGAATTTATTTATACAGTATATAATCCAAATCATACATACATACATACAAATCTGTCACGCCTGTCTCCCATTAGGGTAGGCAGAAACAATGGAACGCCAAATGCTTCGATTCAAACAAAATCAGTAGCGTATATTTAACGAAGTGTTCTTTAAAATTGAACATTTTTACCAAGAAACATGGATCCAAAAATATCTAATAATTTAGAGTCGTATTAACATGAAATATAAATGCGCTGTATTGGTACAGAAGACTCAAAATTAAAGGTGTCTTTTTTTTAATGTTCGATTTTGCTTATAAACAAGTCTCTTTACAATTCCACCGTGTATAATTTTGTATTCGTAATAGTTTAAGTGAGATAAATAATGATAGAAACAATGAAAAAGCTTTATTAGTCATAAAGCTTTTTACAAACTATAACTTACAAAAAAAAAATAACTATAATAGAAATAGAAAAAAAAAGACTAAAATGAAACGTTACCTAGGCACACCAAGTCCTCCAGGCAGCGGAGGATCTAACTCTTGAGGGTCATGAGGTGATACAGGCACCCAATATCCTGATGGTGGGCGTGGGTAACTGTGTCGGTATTTGATATGTGGACGGCTGGCTGTCGGCACTCGAGTATATCCTGAAAGAGTTAAACTATATATTAAAGCATAACTAAAAGTTGTGATAAATTATGAAACGTAGTATGACCTAGAGCCCCTAGATAAATTGATTTATTTATTGACGTACCTATTGGACTTGAAGTAAAGATAGATAAATGAAATATGTTGTCAACATAATCCAGTGTAATAACATTTATAAATTTGATATTCTAATTGCAATTACTGGATTATATACCTACACAGTTGAAGTCGAGTAATTATTTTGAGATGTTTACAAACAAAGCTATTTTTCGAAGATAAAAACTAAATCATGTTCCTGCACTAACGTTATTGCTAGACGTGTCGTGTTAGGTTCAAAGGTTAAATTTTTTTTTGTAATATTTCGACTCTTATTTCGGTAATATTTTTTTTTTAAATAATACAACAATGTCAAAAACATTAGTGGCTGTTATTATTATTTATTTAAAGTTTAATTTAGAATTAAAGGAACGCTAGGATCACGTATAAAATAAAAAAAGATTCAACAATCTTAATCTTAGAATTATAACGAATAATAAAGATGTCATCAGTAATTTTGAAAGAGAATAACTAATAGTATTTCTCAAAACAGCCCCTTCGTACCTGGCAGTGGATTTCCATACTTATCGTAGTAAGCTTGTGGCCCATTTTTGTACAGGCTATCCCAATACTTTCGATCATTCTCTGACAAGTATGGTCCGAGGAATGGCCCATCTCTGTCATCAGTTGGGGGTTTTCCTCTCCAAGGTCTGCTCGGGTACGGACGGGGCTGATCTTCTGCAATTTAATTGTATGACACTATTTTCGATTCATTCAAAATCTATTTTTTTGCACAAAGTGAAGTAAATTCTCATTACTTTAATGTAACTTAAATTATTTTATTCTAATAGTAAGAGAAAAAGAGGTTTATTAAAAAATCAAGTAACACTATCCGAAGAAGTTGATTATACATAATGGAATTTTTAGTGTGCTCTTTAAAATATTAGTAGATATACCTTTTATTAAAACAATAAAGGTTTTTATTTCAAAATTTTAATCAAAAATAGATATGGAGATCTTATTTATTTATTTATTTAATACTTTATTGTACACATTAGTTATAAAAATATAACAGAGGTAAACAAAAGTACAAAGGCGAGCTTAACTCTGATAGAGTTTTCTTCCAGCAAACCAAAGTGGAAAGGAGCATCAATGTCAGCGGACACAGCAGTGTACAATTTTTAAACAGCCAAAATTAAATTAATTACATTATATTTTATCGTACAAATAGACATATACATATACATAAATATATACCTATTCCTCTGCACATACTTATACATACATACACATATACATACAATATACCTACATATATAGATAAATAAATATATGTTCATAGAGATAGAAGATGCTCTTTAAGTTTACTCTTAAAAATATTTAGGGATTCACTCTCACGGATAGATATGGGAAGAGAATTCCACAATCTTATGTTATTTATGTATTAATGTTACACATTTTAGATGTATAAAACTATAAAATTCAGAACTGGATTCCATTTATCTGTCAGTCGTTAACAGAGAAAATATCGTCTACATTATTAAACATGGCACATATATTACAATTAGAATTTTAGTCATTTCTACATATTTTTTTAATATCAAAGTAATAATAAACCCAAAAAGTATCTTCTTATAACTACTTTCATTAACTTTGAATCATAAAACATATTAAAATAGTAATATATATCGGATATCGTATTTGATAATATGCATAGCTAGAGTCTAACTTAAATCTCTAACTAACCTCTATGTCCTTGAGAAGGATGAGGGGTGTTGTGTTGATGGTATGGGTAGTACTTTTCGCTACATGGCCTCCATTGATCTTCTGTTGGGCCTACATAGCACCTGAAATTTGTTATTTTTCCATTAATAATATTATACGTAGTTATTACTCAATACTTACCATTTATTCACACCTCGAAGTGGAAAAAATCGTTCCTTTATTATTGCTTAATATTTTATTTATTTTTTTTATACTTTGTTTAAAAATTTGTAAATTTAATAGTGAGTATTTAATACAATTTTATATTACCAAGGTTTATGGAATCCTTCACTATAGCCGCATCGATGTGTCGGTGCACAACAATAATCCCATGATCCTGTGTAAGAAAATATTTATGCATAATGTAATAATGAAAATGGGATAATCATCATCAATTACAAACTTTAACTGTCCACTGCTGAACATATATCTTCCCCTTGGGGGGTTTTACCAGTAGTTACCAGGCTTGGCAGGCGGATTGGCAACCGTAGTTGGGCTTTGGATATGTTTAAAGAAGAGGTTAATAAGGGAGGGCGAGAGATGGATAGCCATCCCTCACTCTCCCTTATTAGCCTCTTACGACACCCACAGAAAAGGAAGGGGTGGACTATTCTGCAAATGGGAAGTTTCATAATAATTATATATTATATTAATTAAGTATAATAATTATTTAATTTATAACATTTTACAATTTTACAATATGTAAATGCGAAAGTTTGTAACGATAGATGGATATTTGTTACTCTTTCACGCATAAACTATTGAACGGATTTCAAAGAAATTTGCTGCATTATTAGATTATATCGTAACATATATAGCATATAAGATACTTTATGTACTAATTCACACAGATATGTGTAATACAGTCATGGAATACAGTTACTATCATAGTAAAAATAGCTAAATTTCTTTGAGCAATTATACTTCGGATAAATTAACCACTTTAAAGCGGCCGTGTAGTCCTGGCATAGAATGATCATTTCTTTCTCTCTCATGGGTATCGTAGGAGGCGACTAAGGGAAACTAATGGTCGAGGGATGCGCAACGTCTCAAAACCAATACCTTACTGCGGTTGCCAAACCGTTCAGGGCTACCACTCCATAGAACTCAGTTCCAGGCTGTTTTTGTAATCCGTTAGTAAAAACAGTATGGAATTCCATGAATTGAAATAAAAAAAAAACCGTCTGCCAAGCGTGCCAAATACTGGCAAATATCCTTTTATGGGGAAGCCCTATGTTCAGCAGTGGATAGTTAACGGCTGATATTATCTTCATCAAACACTTTAAATGAAGACTTACCAACTTCACCGCCCTCAGGTTCACAAGCCCAATGACCAGCTACCTGGTTCTGGGCGCATGAAGTGCCAGACCGGCAAGGGAATCCAGATACTGTATAATGTCTCCAAGATACCGCAACTGTAATAAAAAAAAATACTTAACACTTTTACAGTGAAGAGGAGAGAACTGTTTTTTTTTTTTTTATTGTAATTAGACTCTATTGTAAGCTGTCGTGATTTGTCACATTTTATTCTACACTGTTTTCAAATCAATTTAATTATAAAACATATTGATATGTATTTGGATGTCATTAATATATTAATTAATATATTGTCTTTAAAAAATTTAAACATTCTTTAAAAGAATTTAATTAATTTTAAAAATCAAAAATTAAAACTGAACAATATTATCAAATATCTTATAAAACAAATATAAAAGACAATAAAAAACTGTTAATTAATGAAGTTACTGTAATGTAATGATGGTGATGGTACTTAATGATATAAAAATGTTAAAAATATCACAAAACAAAACGCGTTTCTTTTTTTAACATTGTCGTGTTACATCAGTTAACGGACAGGATTAATGAGAACTAGATTTTATTATTTTCAACTAAACAATTTTAAGTTCGTTTTGCTTAGTGAAATGTTAGTTAGTTAATAGAAAATCAAATCTACAACTGGATCTACGAAATGTATGAACTACCTGAGGTGTAGATTTAAAAAATAGTTTAACTACATGAAGTGTAAATTTTAAGTCTAGTTTAACTACATGAAGTGTAAATTTTAAGTATAGTTTAACTACATGGAGTGTAGACTTAGATGCTATTTAACTACATGAGTGAAAAATGTGAAATTAGTCATTGTCGTCAAATTATTTATTTACAATTCGAACTAATCTTGTTTCCCTGACATGCGTTATTTAACAAGTACATTGAAAATGAAAAATGTAGTGGGACATCATAGGTTAATCATCATATCAGCCGTTAACTGTCCAAACATTAGTCATTGTCGTCAAATTATTTATTTACAATTCGAACTAATCTTGTTTCCCTGTAAAACAAACAGCATTATTTAACATACATATATTCTGTAACATATAACTGTGAAAAGAACATTAATCTATGTAGTACAGAAGTTTTAAATACAATACATACAAACAGACAAATATATATACAAAAATTTTAAAAATTATAGTTTGATCTTCTCTTGTTCTTATAGATCACTATTACCATGGTTTCTTAAATATATTTCTATATACAGACATCGTCTAGATAATTTTTTTTAAAACTAGTTACTCATGATAGATCAGTTGTAACAGATTTACAAAGACTGACAAAAGATGCAATACTTTAGTTTTGATCTACGCATCATATCTTCTTTACTGTTAAAACATATTTTGCTCTTTTCAAAATTTTGTTTTAAGTTCTTTCTATTAGATCAATTAATTCATAATACACTATTGACTGAGTTAAGATCTCTCTCTAATATATCGATAGCACTAGTATCAACTTCTTAGGGAGAGATCCTAAATGCTAGCTGATCCATGCTAGCTAAGTGGTTTCATGCAAAATTTTATTTCGACGTTTTCTTATCTTGAACTTAAATGTTGGACTCTCTTAATGATAATAGATGTACTTTAATTTCAAAATTATAGTTAAATAAATAGACACTTACTAAGTCCGTCTTCTCTATCATTCGGATAAACTGGTTTGTGAGGTCGCTTTGGCGGCCCATACTCTGGTCTGGGCTCATGTGGTAAATAGCCGGGCTTGTAATCCGGCTCAGAAGGCGGATATCCCGGTCTGAAACCAGAATCTGGCGGGTATCCAGGTTTAAAACCGGGCCCAGAAGGCTCCGGTCTGAATCCTGGCTTATATCCGGGTTCCGGTAGATAACTTGGTCCGCTCGGCTCCGGTCGAAAACCAGGCTTGTAGCCTGGTTCTGGATAATCAGGTCCAGAAGGCCTGTAATCAGGTTTATGATTGTGTTCCGGTAGATAACCGGGTTTATAACCTGGTCCACTAGGTACTGGATAACCGGGTCTTGGTTCAGGTAGATAACTTGGTCCACTTGGTTCAGGATATGGAGGCTTAAAACCTGGCCCGCTAGGCTCCGGATATCCAGGTTTGTAATTTGGACCGGATGGCTCAAGATACCCTGGTTTCGATGGTGGTTCAGGTTCAACATATCCGGGTTTGTATCCAGGCCCACTTGGTGGACCAGTAGGTGCGTACGGCAAATCTGCAAGTAAATATTTTTGTACCGTTTTTTAAATATGCTTCAAAATGACTGGTGGAGCTTCTTCCTAGAGACTACAGTACGGGATTAAGGATCAAAAAGGGTGTATAAAGGTTACTTCAGTAGGCAACGCGCCTTCCACGACAACGGCAGTAATATTTCAGGTATCCTTATGCTACAGTAACCATTAACCATCAGATGAGCTTTATGCTTCCCGGTATTTTTTTTTTTGGTACCTTCTTGGTGTAAAATATATCGGTAGAAAATAACACAAGAATGAATGAATAAATAAATGCATGGGCGAATAAAAATCAGTTTATTATTTCCTATAAAGCATATTACAGATTACAGAAGTTAACAATATGTAGGTACCCAAAAAAATCTTAATTACAAGAAGTAAGGCGAAGAGGTAACGATGGTCGGCCTTATTCCTAAATAGCAAAATTCTTCCAGGCAACCTTAGCATGAAGAGGAATAATTACAATTGCACCTGATATAATTATAGAAAAATAATGAAACTAAATAAAAAGAAAGAAAGGGGAGGGATACTAAAGAAAAATTTAAACGCAGTACTAATAAAAATGCTTGCATCAACTCATTGCAGATTTCAATTTGTTTATTTAAACTATTTATTATTATTATTATTTAAATTTTATATACAATTATTTATTATTGTAATATAGTTATGGAATAGTATATTTATTGTTTTGACTAGGTATTATTTTATTTTTAGATCTATATCCTTTGTCTTTGAAATTTCTATAGTTTTCTTTCAGCTTCTCAAAGGTTAACTGTAAGAGATCCGTCTACGGTATACATACCAAGACATTCTATTACTTTGCAACTTCTCCATTACTGGTGCAACTGTCACACATCCCTGTATGTACTCATTTTTCCCCCGTACGTACCTACTCTGTTGTACCTTGTAATAAATGTAAGAACACTTACCTCCACCCGAGGGCAAATATCCTGGCCTGCCAGGGCCTGTGGGATGGTCTTCGAAGGTTGGGGACAAAGGACGCGGCAGTTCATGTGACGGATCACTGGAAGTAATTTATAGTAAGATTTATATGAGACAAGTTATAAATGTATCACTTTATACTATTTTGTTTAACGAACGCCAAAAAATATCCTTTTTTAAAAAAAAAACTTTTGTGTGTGTGTGTGTGTGTGTGTGTGTGTGTGTGTGTGTGTGTGTGTGTGTGTGTGTGTGTGTGTGTGTGTGTGTGTGTGTGTGTGTGTGTGTGTGTGTGTGTGTGTTAGTATGTGTGTTCATAGTTGAATAGGTACACTTGTTTTTTTTTACAATATGTTAATTAACAAAATCTATTTCTTATACATAATTAAATTAAGTTTCGAAAAATAAACCGTCTTTCATTTTGGCAAAATCAGTTATTTTGATTTAAAAACTATTTTACTGAACCGATTTTGATAAAATGTCTATGGGATTAGTACGTAAGTATCCCTCTCATATAAAAAAATGTTCCAAATCGGTTTACAACTGACTGAGTTATGAGGTAACAAACGTAAAACAAAATACAATCGAATTGAAAACTTCGTTGTTTTTGAAGTCAACTAAAAATTAGTTTCAGTATTCGTTAGTAGAATTTTAATTTGTTTGCTTAAAAAAAATATAATAATAATGATAATGTATGTATTACATACACTGTGTAGTGTACACATACAATTTTTTTTTACATATTTATTTTTAATAATATGAGATATTTTTGTAGGAAAAAAGAAAGGAAGATCCTATAAATTACTAATTACCTTTATAATTAATACTTACTTATAACACATACTTACATTAATTCTTTTATAGTAAAAAAATAATATAATAGTAGTTCCATTGTTTCTGCCTACCCTAATGGGAGACAGGCGTGACAGATATGTATGTATGTATGTATGTAATATAATAATGATTTTAAAACTCATACAACATCAACTAACTCATACTCGCTCTTCCCATGCACTTTCCTCCAGCACTGGCCGTTGAAAAGATCAAAGGCGAAGAGCCAGTCGTCGACCGAATGTTCATAGTCGACTCCTCGCTGCAAGTCGAAGAGCCTGATCTCCGATAGAAGACAGTTGTCTATGTCTGGCGGGGCCTTGTTACTGAAAGGAGAAATATGGTTTGTTTTTTTGAAACTTAGAATGGGAAACAACCTGACGGTCCACCTGAGACTTTGTACAAAAGTCGATTGCTTGGGTACCTCTGTCCCATTCGTGTTTCAACCGTGAAGCAGTTGTGTTTGCATGGCTGTGTTTCGGTTTGAAGGGTGGGATATGGCGAGAATTTACTGGGTACAGAGGAATAACACCTGAGTCCTCAAGAATGGCAACGCATGAGGGGTATCATGGACGAAACAGTATACTCTGTTATGTCCATGGTATTGCTCATGTCTATAGGCGACGGTTAACACTTTCCATCAGGTGGGCTGTCAGCTTGTTTACCATTCTAAGTTGTATAAAAAAAATATGGAAAGTGGTAACATATTGTATGCCTACAGACATGAGCACTACCATGGACATAACAGAGTATATTGCTCCGCCCACGATACCCGTCATGGTTCTTTTTTATACAACTAAAAATTCTGATGGTAAACGGTCACTGTAGCCTATAGACATCGCGTACGCGTTTCCGACCCTGAAGAAACCTTAATAAATCCATTTTGAAGAACTTCATACTGTAGTCTCTAGAGAAAGCCTCGACAAAGAGCTTATTCCACAGCCAGAGCGTTTGCGGGAGAAAACTTCTTTGAAACTGCACTGTACGCGACCATTTAGGTTCTACCGCGTGAGGATGAATTTTTCATTCCAGTGTATTCTTTATAGATATATTTTTAATGTGATACACTAAAACTATTCCCAGGAACAACAAGGTCTTTTGGACTTCTCATGGTAAAAGACCAATCAAGATAATAACTTCTATGTGTACATTATATTTTTTTGAAATACATACTTAAAAGAGAAGGAGAGACATCTGAAGGGAGCATCAGTACACGCGACTCCACACGCCTCTTCGGTCCGAACCCTTGCTGAACCTCGAACTGCTGAGCTTTTCAATCGCGCCGCACTGTCATATTGGAGGTAGCATTCTGTAAAAAGCAAAATAAAGTTAAAGAGATAACACTCTTTTTTACATAATAGGATGAGACATCCTCATGCTAGGATATCCTGTGTTGTGAGGAATAAGGCAATCTGTAAGCACAATTCAGAACTACAGAGAAGTTTTCTATATTGGCCCGACCGAGATTTGAATCCGGGACTATATTACGCAAAGCAATGTGCAAATCTCTATGCTACAGATGTCTTTATACATAGTTACATACTATACATGACATCTTGTATGGTAATAAATAATGAAACTTCAGGATAATAAAGGTGCATGTTTCATACTAAAATCTCATGATATTCTGCCTTTTCGAAACTATATAATTTTGTAATGGTTTCCTCCCTCTGCTTTCATATCCAATACTTGAGACAAGAGATTGTTGGTAAAGAGAGTGTTTGCAGCCATTGCTTGCAATATAATCTATCAGGTCGATCTACATAAGTCGTCGATAAGTAGGTAGGTATTATATATATTTATAGTGTATGTATTTATGTAATATTTTATTATATATATAGCAGCGCAAACCAATATCACAAGCAGAACTGAAATTATCAATCATATTGATTCAACCTAATAAATGCTTACCCGTCTCTCTGTGCTGTGTATCATCATACAGAGCTGGTTCACAGCCCCTCCCATAGTTTCCTCTCGAGTACAACTCATGTCCAGCCGTGGGCCGGAGTCCTCTGTTGGTCTCCAACGAGGTTGGTGGAGAAGACGTCAGAATGCAGTTCTCCAAGTCATCGCCTATCGTTGGTGCGTCGAATCTAGAAATTTTATTAAAGACAGACATTGTACTGAAGCTATCTGCATGAGGACTTTCGTCCTATCCGAAGCAACTGTCCCATTCGTGTTTCAAACTTGAAGCAGCTGTGTTTGCATAACTGTGTTTCGGTTTGAAGGGGTGGGATATGGCGTGAATTTACTGGGTACAGAGGAATAACACTTGAGTCTTCAGGAATGGCAACGCATGGGGGTATCATAGGCAAAATAGTATACTCTGTTATGACCATGGTACTGCTCATGTTTATAAGCGACAATTACCACTTTCCATCAGGTGGGCCGTCAGCTTGTTTGCCATTCTAAGTTGCATAAAAAAAATGGTTATAACTTTCCATAAGTGGACCGTCAGCTTGTTTACCATGATAAATACACATTTGTTTATGCATCATGTACCAAGTATCATAAAAAAAATTAAAACATTTTGGAAACAACTATAGTACTTTTAAAATTCACTTGGGGATGGGGACTAAAAAGGGGAGCTTTTCAATTCAACTGTATGTTTATTTGTAGTTATGTTAGATTACCAATTTTGTCCCATTTTCATAATTTTTTTTTTTGCAGTTTATAGGATTTTTTCCATAATGATTTCATATTAATGTAAGTATAACTGCTATTGGCCTATCAATGTGTTGAACGCAGTCAGATTTGCCGTCGCCTCGTAGACTCTCATCATTCTAGGTCCCGAATGGTTCCAAAACTAGTAGAGTATTGTAATAAAAATACACGTTATCCAATTTGGTTAAAATTTACTGTTAAAATTGAACGTATATTCATGAAACTAATAAATAAATCACCTGAAACTAAATCCTCTACAGAAGAATCCGTGAGCGCGAATACATTCTGCCTCGCACGCACCGAGTCCGGCCACTGTGATCGCTCCTCTAACAGCGGCACCACTGACCGCAGCGCCGGAACGCACATGCCAGAAACATTCTAGAATGGAATAGATTTAGATATGAATATTAAAGATTGAAGAGAATAATCAATGAATAGATCCTAGAAAGTGCACAATTTTTCGTTTATACCAGAGAAATTGGGGGCACTAATATTTGGGTATTTTTGTTTTCATTATACAATACTAGCGGCCCGTCCCGGCTTCGCACGGGTGGACATTTTTACAACATTTTAAAAAGTGGTTATTGTGACATAACGATAATAGTTGTACATATATTATCGCGAAGGTTTTTGTAGTTATTGCTATTTTCTTCAATATTGTAGAACATACTGTTGTTTTATCACCCATAGTTTCCGCAGTGCATGCGACGAAATATATTTTATAGCATTGTTTTATACCTTGAGTTACGTTACTAAAGTTTTAGTAAGGATCCCTAATCTTTTTTAAGCAATAAATATGTTACTCAGAGTGAATGTAGCTTTGTAATGGTAAAAGAATTTTTGAAATTGGCAAAGTAGTTTTTGAGTTTATTCCTTACAAACATACACACAAAAATACCTTTACATCTCTTCAAAAAAATCTTTCCTCTTTATAATATTAATGTAGATATATTAGTTTTTCTGTTCTTTTTTTTCCTTTAACATTAAGATTATTCATAAAACTAATAAAGTTTCTTCTTATAAAGATATATTTATGTAAAGTATATCACCAGCAAGACCACAACTGTTAAGTAATGAATGCACACGCACACGCGCACACAAACACACACACACACACACACGCACGCACACACACACATACACACGCACGCACGCACGCACGCAAGCACGCACGCACGCACGCACGCACGCACGCACACACGCACGCACGCACGCACACACAACTACACACACAAACTACTATATCTTCAAGAATGACCGCTGAAATTGCAAGACACGGAGGCAATACATCGTAGTCCTCCGAAATAGCGAGTCATAAGCAAAGCTATAGATATCACAGTGCATTTTGTGATGTCTATTACACTATAAATGGCGTTGTGATATTCTATCAGGAATGCCATCTGTTTGCTTTCAATTTTAAGTTGTTAAAAAATCTTTGACTGCGTGCTTGTTGTTTAAATAGCTTATTGTAAATGGGCCTTCTGAGATTTGTTTTTGTTAATGTCAAATTTGCAACTGTATGCCTAGCCTATTCAAGTAGGCGCTTCCCTTTTATTGTACCGTCTAATTTTGTATATTTTTTGTATACTGTCATCTTGTTCATTTGTTGATTTTGAAAATACTAAAATGTACGTGACAGTTATACTATACTAGCAGTCTGTCCCGGCTTCGCACGGGTGGATATTTTTACAACATTTTAAAAAGTGATTATTGTGACATAACGATAATAGTTGGACATATAGTATCGTGGAGTTTATGTAGTTATTGATATTTTCTTCAATATTTCAAAACATACTTTTTTTCTATCATCAATAGCTTCCGCAGCGCACGTGACGAACGATATTTTCTAGCATTTTTTACACCTTGAGTTACGTTACTAAAATTTTAGTAAGGATCCCTAACCTTTTCTAGCAATAAATATAGCCTAGATTACTCAGGGTGAATGTAACTTTCTAATGGTGAAAGAATTTTTGAAATCGGCAAATTAGTTTTTGAGTTCATTCATTACAAACATACATACACACAAAATACAAATCTTTCCTCTTTATAATATTAGTGTAAATAATAATATATATAATTTTTTTTCTGGGGGAGGCAGTGGACAGTAAACAGCTGATTTGATGATAATGACGATTTAGACAAACATTGATTTAGATTATTCCTATTATAGGTATTTTTTTTTTAGTGGATGAAAATGGAATAGTAACCCCGCCTGCTCTAACGGAATACGCTGGCGGGGCACCAGTGAAGTGTGATCGATGAGAATGAAAACAGGCCAGTTAGCCCATCATGATGAATTCATCTGGAATTAATCATGATAGTTTCCAGGGGGAACCGCGAGGAGTTCTACCTGGTTGGGTATATTGCTAGCAATGGGATTCTCAGTCCCCATTACTAACAATCCCTTCCCCCACCTCATTATAGGCATTAGGTTAGTCTAAAAGATTGATCCTTACCGCTTTCGACCCAAGGTTTATGACTGATGGTGGAGCACCCCTGATCCTGTGGCATAGCGTACACATCTGAACCGCTATCTGCTGACAACTCCAGCCCTCTGTACGGTCTCTCACTTAGGAAACAATTGTCGGTGCCTCGAGAACTCGAATATCTGGATTAAAAAATAACAAGTTTGTTAGAAACATTTTTAAAATAAACTTTTATATTATAAAAGTAATCCAAATTTCAAAAATATCTAATAACATCTTCGAATATGTATGAATATGAGAAAGAGAATGAGTAGGTATTGATAAAATAAATGTATTTTTCTCAAACATGCTTGGAAATATGAGCATTACTTTGATAATCTTCTTCGAGATAAACCAAAATTGCCGTACTGGCCAGATAAATCCATATCTGTCGTGTTTTGCGGCCAGATAAATTACTATGTAAACTCATATCTGTCCTGTAATTAAAAAATGGAATGACCTTTTACTTCGAAACATTGGTATCAAGGAGATTACTAATAAAAGGTTTTATTTAAATTTCGAACTGGCTTGCAAATAGAAAGCTGTTTATTGAAAAAAAAAACAAAGGAACATTATGGCACGTGAAAAGTTATTATTGTTCGTTATTTGTCATTGAACTTAAAAAGTAAAATTATGTTTTTGATTTCCGCGCATTGTTGTATGCGTGCCTCGGCTACGTCTCGGCCTACATTTGCACGTTCGTCCATCAGTGCCTCAGTTGCTGGCCGCTGCAGTAATGTACTGTTATTACCTACTCTTCAAGTACCTTCATTTGAAAGTTTTATTAACATGTTTTACAAAATATACACCATCCACCATGTTGTGGCGACGGCCATTTTGAGAATATCACAATTGATTTTTCCTATTAGGCACATTTTATCTTGATACACCACTTATTAATTAGGTTTTTCACTTTTGAAATCCACGTGTATGAAGTAACAGGCACATTGAATTTATAAAATATACATGAATGAAAAAACGAATTCGAAATTTAAATTACCTAATATATCTTATACATATAAATAAGGCATTACAAGTTTTTTTTATACCACTGAAGTGGCAAACAAGCATACGGCCCACTTGATGGTAAGCGGTTACCGTAGCCTATGAACGCCTGCAATACCAGAGGTATTACGGGCGCGTTGCCGACCCTGAAGAAACCACTTTAGCCCCCTTTTGAAGATCTTTTAATCGGTCTTTTACTTCGACTTACCTATAACTGTAGGAGACGCATTTAAACTCCCTCTCACCAAAGCAGGCAGCCTCACACTCGACCACGTTGTGGGCTATAAGCGACCGTCTTATAGCACCCGATCCTAAGGACATGCCTGGTCTTCGACGGGAGGAACAATCTAGAAAAATGTTCGAAATCTAAGAACGATACGAACCTTAATTCAAAAAGGCTAGATTCATTAGAAAGAAACTGATAACCAACATCGGTAGATATGAAGAGCACTATCAGAATTCAGGAAACACGAACCTAACATAACCATAATCTTTAAGAAAAGAGCATATTCCTTTTTAAAAGGCCGGCAGCACATATACAATGCTGTTGGTGCTGTGGGTGATCATGGGTGACGGTAGTCACTTACCACCAGGTAAGCCGCATGCTCGTTTGCACCTTGTGTTGTAAAAAAAAACCTTAAATTGAAATGGTAAAAAGTACAAAGTCTTTTTTATACTGTTAAGATGGCAAACAAACATGGCAAACAGCTCGTTTGATGGTAAACGATCACTGTAGCCTATGGACGCCTGCAACACTAGGAGTGTCACGAGCGCGTTGCCGACCCTGAAGAAACCTTATTTAACCTTTTTAAAGTATCCCATTTTTTTTTTATACAACTTAGAATGGCAAACAAGCTGACGGCCCACCTGATGGAAAGTGGTAACCGTCGCCTATAGAAATGAGCAGTACCATGGACATAACAGAGTGTACTGTTTCGCCCATGATACCCCCCATACCAATACTCTCTAGTAGTCTCTAGAGAAAACTTCGGTAGGGAGCTTATTCTACAGCCTGAGCGTTCGCAGGAGAAAATCCCTTTGAAACCGCACTGTACGTAACCATTTAGGCTGAAGTCCCTATTGAAATGGTTTACCAGCGTGTATCGATAGCGCAGACGGGGTTACCATCTTTTTAGATCGCATAAAAAAATATTACCAAGCAAACATAATGGTTTGGCGAAGATACTAGTAACACCAGTAAAATATGGTACGATAATCTGTAGGTATGACGTTTGCACAAGGTTTTTCTCTGATGATGTTAATGATTTAAAAATTACCTTTACCGCTCGGATCTTCGTTCCTGTCATCATAATAATGATGTTTTGGCTTGTCAAGGTAATTGGACTCCCCATAGTCCAGATTATTCCAGCTACTGACTCCAGAACTATTCCAGCGGCCTCTCTTCCAAGATCCATAACCATATCTGTAAATAATTGAACGGAATATTTATTTTCAAGTAACTTTTGAAGGGAGGAGTTTCTCGATTTGTCTATTTTTTTAAGTAACAATTACTTTTTTAAGTTACAATGGCAACCAAGCTGAAAGACTACTTGACGTAACAGTCGCCTATACACATAAACTGCACCATTGATATCATAAAATACCCTATAAGGGGGGGGCTATACCCTATACCCTGTATTGCTATCACTGGGTCAAATAGACCCCTATTTGACCCAGTGATAGCAATACAGGGTGTGACAATATCAGATCGACCTCCACGCGGTTGCCCCTGGAAACCGTCGTGGTTAATTCTAGTGGAATTCGTCACAATGGGCTAACTGATCGGCCTTGTCATCTTCACCTGTCATTCCTCACTGGTGCCCCGCCAGCGTATCCCGATAGCGCAGGCGGTGTTACCATTCTATGTTACTATTCTAACACCATATGATACCCAAGACACTGTACATTGCCATTCCTAAGGATTATGGTGTTATGCCCCCGTGTCCTGTAATTTCAGTGCCATATCCCACCCTTCGTACCGAAACTCAGCTATCACAAACATACTTCACTGTAAAAACACGAGTGAGACTGAACACTACTTTTTTTTTTAATTTACCAATTTTGAAGAGATTTTAATAATTGTCTTTGCAATCGATAGAGTATATTCCCATGATAATCCCATATATAATTTTGTCACGACAGAAGTAGCTTTTCTAAAATATCTTGTTTATTTACTTCTACGTACGTAAAAAATTCTAAGCAAACAAACTGTAAATGAAAGTGTAAAAAATGGTGACTTAAAAATATGCCATACCTGTGACTCTCCCATAAACGATTCTTCCCCAAATTGTGGTAATCGAAATTCGTGTTGTGATATGGTTTGACACCATAGGACGATCGACCTATGTCGTCTGCCAGTCGCCAGTGGTTTATAGACTTGTAATAGTCATTCCTATCTTTGTAGTAAGTATCGTAACCCCCATAATAACCACCATATTGCCCCCAGTTTTCTTGATCATCATTGCTCCTGCCCATACCTGGAAACAAGTCACATAAGACATAATATGTAAAATGGGGAGGGGGAAAGGATTGTTAGTAATGGGGACTAATGGAACCATTACTAGTAAGACCTGTCAGGTCGACTTCCACGCGGTTCCCCCTGGAAACTATTGTGACTAATACCTAGACCTGCTTTCATCCTCACCTATCATCCCTCACTGGTGCCCCGCCAGTGTATACCGATAGCTCAGGCGGGGTAACATTTCCATTATCATTTATTAAAAACAAAAATGTAAAATGTAAGTATATTTTTTATTCAATTTAATTACAAAGCATTTTTGAATAGTCATTTTTTGATTTTACCGCCCATTCAGCATAGAATAGGCCACCCCTTCCTTTCCCGTGGGTGTCGTAAGAGGCGACCAAGGGAACTTATTGGTCAAGGGATGGGAAGCAGCATTCCTTTTAAAAATTCACTAAAAATCTAACTATGGTTGCTAACTCGCCTGCTAATGTAACTACTGGCAAAACCCTTCTTATGGGGGGAAAGCGATTGTTGGTAATGAGGCTGACTTATTGCTAGCAATACACCCTGTCAGGCCGACCTCCACGCGGTTCCCCCTGGAAACCATCGTGCTTAATTCTAGTAGAATTCGCCACGATGGGCTAACTGACCTGCTTTATTTGTCACCTATCATCCCTCGCTGGTGCCTATCGGTATATGTTGGCGGGGTTCCCATTCCATTATCACCCATTAAGAAACCCTTCTTATGGGAGAAGCCTATATTCAGCAGTGGAAAATTAAGGGCTAATATTAAAAAAAAAATAACAATAGCGGGAAAACCGTTCTACTTTCATAAATTTATAATAAAAAAAAATATATTACAAATAAATATTATAAGAAAATTAAACATACCAATTTGATAGGGAACGAAAAATCTGTCGTCATATCCCCTCCGTCCATTATGCCTTAAACCTCTTCTGTCTTCATTATACCTGTCATAATTATACCTGTTCTCGTACCAGTCCCTCCTATCCCATTGGAAATCTGGCATCCGACTGGGTTTTGAGGATAGAAACCCCGAATGTAACAGGCCTGGCCCTCGGAGTGTGTCGAGGCAGTGTGGCTCCAAGCTGTTGCGGTCCACTTCGTAAAAGTCGTAATCTTTGTCGTCCACGAAGTCCCTTTGTATGTCGAAAGCTTCGATTGGCTTCGTCATTAACTCACAGAGGCCTTTCCCGCGGAAGGACGGGTCCAATCTGGAACAAAGTTAATAAGTTAATTTTTTTATACAATTTAGAATAGTTCATACCTATATATATATATATATATATATTATATATATATATATATATATATATATATATATATATATATATATATATATATATATATATATATATATATATATATATATATATATATATATATATATATATATATATAGTGCCCAGGCCTCGGCGTTTTTTAAGGGACAGTTATGTTATGTCCATGGTACTGCTCATGTCTATAGGCGACGGTTACCACTTTCCATCAGGTGGGCCGTCAGCTCGTTTGCCATTCTAAGTTGTATAAAAAAAAAGTCTACGATAAAGAAAAACAATATCTTTCAATTTATTACAATCATCAATAAGAATCTCCCATTTCAACAGTTTCAAAATCATAGCCGTTCGTAGTCGGTTAAAAAAAAAAAACAACAATTACAATAGTTCCTCAATCACGTGTCAGCCACAACGACCTTTGGATTTGTACCAATTATCTCATATGTTGATATTTGGGTCGACCATTATTGCATAGCGCATGATTCCCATCATCTTTTTATGCAAATTGTACAGTTTGTACTTGTACAGAGATGGACTCAGTACTACGGTTGTTATTTAATATAAAATAAAATTGAATTTACAGGAAAAAATCGACCTCAATTAAAAACCAGTAAATTTGATTTAAAAATTAAAGTACTGAACCGATTTTGATGAAATTTCTATAGGACCAATCTGATAAAAATATATTTTTTTAAATCCGACTATAATGAAGTTATGATATAATAAAAAAAAAAAACCAATTTAGGACCTCCTTCTTTATATGTTGACTAGCGGCCCGTCCCGGCTTCGCACGGGTGGACATTTTTACAACATTTTAAAAAGTGATTATTGTGACATAACGATAATAGTTGGACATATTGTGTCGCGAAGTTTTTTGTAGTTATTGATATTTTCTTCAATATTGTAGAACATACTTCTGTTCTATCACCAAAAATAAAGATAATGAAAATCGACTTTAAATTTATCAAAATCAGTTATTTTAATCTAGAAACTAAACTACTAAACCGATTTTTATAAAATTTTTATTGGACCAATAAATAAGGATATCCTTTAAGATAGATAAGAAATATCTAAATCGATTCATAATTGACGGAGTCATAAAGTAACAAACAAAATTTTAAAAAAATATATAATATAAATAGGAACCTCTTTTTTTGAAGTCGGTTAAAAAAGCCAACTTCAATCAAGACAAAAACCAGTTGCTTTGATTAAAAACTAAACTGTTGAATTAATTTTAATAAAATTTATTTGAGATCAATCTGTAAGTACGACTCTGGAATGCGCTACCCATGGACATAAGACAAATGTCTAACAAATTTATTTTTAAGAGAAAAGTCTACGAAAATCTTTTGAAAAAGCTGTGAAAGCATTCATCATCTTCATCATCATCACTTTTGATCTCTATCGTTGTTTGTGTTATCGTATATAATCTATAAGTATGTAGGTATATTTATATATGTATATTTATATTTGTATGTATGTTTTTATTACATATTTGTATATTTATGGAATATTTGTTTAATGTATTCATGTATGTATATTTATATAACCATAATGTGCCGTAGTTCTCCATTGTATGTGTTGTAATTTTTTTCACCGCATAATAAAATTTCAGTTTCGCCAAACGTTGACTGTGAGAGAATGCTATATAGTATTAAGCCCGCCTTTTGTACCAGACATTTTTTTTGTAATGTGTTCAATAAAGAATAAAATAAATAAATAAATAAATATATCTTTTCAAATAAAAAAAAAGAATTAACCTAATCGGTTCATAACTGACGGAGTTAGAAGGTAACAAACATAGAAAAACACAATCGCTTTGAGTACCTCCTTCTTTTTGAAGCCAGTTGAAAAGAAAACCCGTTCAGTGGTAATGTTCATATCTATAGGCGCTTAGTATTTCCCATTAACATCGTCATTTCGCAATTTCCCCCAATAAAAACATAACCTTCACCGCTTCTAGTGAACAGAGAGACAATAGAAAATCCAATGCACATCAACACAAATTAATTATATTGTGACTATGTAATTATTTAATTGTAAAACCTTCCGCGTAGTCCGTCCCTGTGCTATCGGCGCGTACGCAAGGTGATCGTAGGCTACACAATGCTGATGGTTCGCGTCGATTGCCACCACTCGAGGTTGTAGTGTGTGCACAGCCTATTTTGTTTGTGCTATATTGATTTGCTTGAACTAAGCCTCGTATGTAATTTTTGTTTGTATATTTGACAGTTTTATACTTATTCACCAGAGGGAGACTTTGTACTAAAGTGGATTGCTTGGGTACCTCTGTCCCATTCTTGTTTCAACCGTGAAACAGTTGTGTTTGCATGGCTGTGTTTCGGTTTGAATGGTGGGATATGGCAATGAATTTACAGGGTACAGAGGTATAACATTTGAGTCCTCAGGAATGGCAACGCATGGGGGGTATCATGGGCGAAACAGTATACTCTGTTATGTCCATGATACTGCTCATGTGTATAGGCGACGGTTACTACTTTCCATCAGGTGGGCCGTCAGCTTGTTTGCCATTCTAAGTTGTATAAAAAAAAAACTCGTAACTTTAATCTTGCCGAACTTATTGTTGTGAATGTTCGTAGATCCCTTCCTTTCCCATCCCTTCTTTTCTCGTAGGTGTGGTAAGAATCGACTAAGGGAAGCCGAGGGATGGGTAGCAGCGTCCCTCTTAAAACATCTTCAAATTCTAACTGCGGTTGCCAATCCGCCTGCCGAGCGTGGCAACTACTGGCAAGACTTCCTTTTTAGGGAAGGCTTAGAAGGGAAGGTTCAGCAGTGGACAGTTAAAGGCTGATATGGTATTTTGTGACAATTTTAATGAAATTTAGTTACATTTTCATTAAGTATTGTTCAAATAGACTATAGTCCTCTATAATGAGTCTATCTATGGTTTTAAAATTATCATAGTTTAAGCTAACCTAGATGTTCACAGTGCATACAGAGAAGGGTTTAACATCAAGTCACAGAAACTACTTGTTACTATAAGATTGCTAGTTACATGTACTTCATCATTTATTGTACAGTAATGTATATATACGAATGTACAGTCAGCTACAATTTTTTTTTTATTTTATTTTTTTTATAACACAAAGGTGGTAAACAAGCGTAAGTCTCAACTGGTGGTAAGCGGTTACTGTAGCCTATCGTCATATCAGACTGTCTACTGTTGAACATAGATCTCCCTCAGAAAGGAAGGATTTTGACAATGTATATATACGAATGTACAGTCAGCTAGAATTTTTTTTTTATAACACAATATGAATATGAAGATATGACATGTCAAGGTAAGATCTGCGTAGGCATAGTTTTTGTGATACCTCCTTTTTGGTCTTCTCAAACTATAAGATAAAGGTGTTTTACAAGATGTTATAATTTAGAATTTGTTTCACAAAAAAATACAACATTAATTATGACAAACCTATTTATTTGGATTTAAAAACTAAACTATCGAACCAATTTTGATAAAATATCTATGAAACCAATCTATAAATACATCCTTTCAGATAAAAAAAAAGAATGTTCCAAATCGCTTTACAACTGACGTAGTTATTAGGTGACAAACATAAAAACTGCAATCAAATCGAGTACTTCTCGTTTTCGATGTCCGCTGTGAATTACGCGAACAAGTGTACTTAATTAAAAAAACAATGTTCTAACATGGTCAGTTATGAACATTTTAGGCGAATTAAGGCCACAGTCTCGTATCAGGGAAACGGTTACAATAGTGCGAAAACTTCGTGGGAGAGTTAATTCTATAAATCAAAACACATTCGTAGTACCGTGCTTCTTAGTACAGATGATTACACAAGTAGATTTGTTTTTTTTTTTATATAAGCAACTTAGAATGGCAAACAAGCTGATGGCCCACCTGATGGAAAGTGGTAACCGTCGCCTAAAGACATGAACAGTACTATGGACATAACAGAGTTTACTATTTCGCCCGTGATACTGCAGATGCATTGCCATTTCTGAGTACTCAGATGTTATTCCTCTGTACAGTGTAAATTCACTGCCATATCCCACCCTTCAAACCGAAACACAGCCATGCAAACATAACTGCTTCACGATAGAAACACGAATGGGATAGAAGTGCTCAAGCAAATGACTTTTGTACAAAGTCTCTCTCTGGTTGTTGTTTTATTTATTTTACATTTTAATGCGCTATTTATAAAAATAATAAGTATAATAAATTTTACTGTCTATTCTTGGCATAGAATGGGCCACCACTTCTTTTTCCACGGGTAAGAGGCGATTAAGAGAACAAAATATTCGAGGTTAAAATATTAGCAGCTAATGACAGAGTTATGAAGTAACAAACATTAAAACAAAAACAAAATACAGCCGTATTGAGAACGTCCTTTTTCAAAATCGGTTGATTAACAATATCCTAATTTATTTTTTTATTTTTATTAAAGAAAAATCAACAGCTAAAAAATTTCATTACAAAAAAAAAACAGTAAATATATATATATATATATATATATATATATATATATATATATATATATATATATTTTTTAATAAAAGAACAGTAGAATAACTTAATAACAATGTTAGAAAGGCCCATATCTGATAAAAGAGATAACTTCCAGTCGCCTATAGACATGAGCAGTAGTATAGTAGTATTTATTTATTTTTATTTATTTAACTCTTTATTGCACCATGAATAAAAATATACAATGACAAGTGAATAATTCAATTGAAATACAGTAACATAAATACAGATTGAAATATACATATAAAGGTGCAAAAGGCGGTCTTATCGCTAGGGCAATCACTTACAGACAACCTTTGGTTAAAGTAGAACAGATAGAAATTGGCAGGTGGCGCAAGAGTGAATTAATAAATTTCGTGCATAAAATACAAAAACCTATAATGCACAAAAATATCAAATACATATAATTTATTAAACTACT